ATGATCTGAGGTACCGATCCAAAATAAATAAATAAATAAATGATCTAGTAATTTTCTCTTAGAAAAAAGAGATAATTGGGCCGAAAGACCAAATGTTCAAGCCCAAACACTTGTGCATAAAGCACCCATAACACGCCTGGCAAAAGACCCATAGCTAATTATCGGCCCACTACTATTATAGTGGGATCTCAGAGCTTAATCTGTCAAAATCTTCTGAAGCAGAGTTGATGCTCGGCCATCAAGTAGAAAAGCCTCAGAAATGTTATTCCGACGAAGATTCCGTTCAGTACCACTGGTATTTGGAGCTGTTGTGTAAGCTTTCTCTTTTTCCTTTGTTCTTCTTCTTATTCTTTCAACTGTTTGCTCTTTTGTTAGCTCCGCGCGCTACTTTTTGCTATAAGATGATTTTTGTGCACAGCTGTATCTTCATGATTTTAAGTTTTCGATCCACTTAGAATATTTTTTGATACTTTTAGTTGAGTATACAGTTGAATGGAGGAGAGGTAGTTTACTTTTTTGTTTTTGATTTGCCTTTTGGAACCCCTAGATACAAATTGCTTCGTTATATTATTAATTAGTTGATATTGGTGTTAATTATTAAGTGTATTCTCCTGTCAGAACTGGGGCGCATAAATTTGAGCGTGCGAATTGAAGCACAGAGCAGGATAAACTGATTAGGGTTTTCAGTCTTGAAATTTGGTAGCCAGACTAATGCTGGTTTTGTTGCTGTATTTGCGTGTTTTGATGAGTATATTTCTATTTTCATGATGCAAACCAATCAGGAATGTATAGAAGTTCCAGTTACCAAACACCATTTGTGATCTATCATGAACTACTACGTAAGAGGTTCCTAGGTTATGTTTCAATGGAATATATCTATACATCCTAATTTCTCTAAACTACTGAAGGTTGTTGATTGATATTTGATAATTGGGCACTGATTGAGAAAACGAAGTTTGGTATCTCTAGTTTCTGTATTGGTAATGTATGCCAGTATGTAGATATTTCTCATGATGTTGTTTATTCCCTTAGTATCTTCTCTGTTCTTGTTGCTTAGGATAATACTATAATAGCACTTGAGAGTGACTACTAATTTGAACTTTGTTCTTTTTCTTTCTAAATAGCCTCAAAGAACATGTACCGTATGTATCAACTTTCTATAAGTAACTCCCATCGTGAAAGCTCGTAAATGTCACATGACCTTTTTGTTTGCTAAAGATGCGAGAGGTACAAACGTTTTGAAGGGAAGATGTTGAGTGGTTGCTAATTTAGGAAACACAATTTTATAATTTGCACGTGAAGCGGAAAGATAATGAGGGGAGAGATTCTTATGCCAAGCTGCTTAGCTCTACCATGTTTATTGGCTGTTGATTGAAAGGTTTTGCTTTTTGATAAACGCCTGATTTCTGTTTTTGTTCAAATCAATACTGCAGGATAGGAGTTGTGTCTGGAAAAGCCATATTTGGACCCCCACTTGATGAGTACTGGAAGAAAAAACTTCAAGAGGAAACCGCAGCAAAAGAGAATAACAGTACTTCTCCTACTTCACACTGAAACATGCAGCAAATGAAGAACTTTCCTCCATTTTCACTGGGGGTTGTGTTGCAATGACACGTTATCGACGCTAAAGTGCAACCTAGCTTGTAGTGAGGGTTTCATTTTGGAGTGTTGTAAGAAAACGATTTAGGTGTTCGATAATATGTTGGCAACAGTGCTGGGGCTATTTCCAAATTATTCTAGTGCGAGTTTCATTTTTTTTTTTTTTTTCTTAACTGAAGAATTGTGGTAAAATGATTGCCAATTTCCTTTTGATTAATTGTGTCAGATAGTTAAATATCAGCGAAAGAATGGCTTCTTCAGTCTCTCTGTCTCTCCTACATAGAATATTACGCAGCAAGAAATTTAAACACCATGATACATAACAAACAGATAGTAAACGAAACAAGAGAAACCCTTTACACAGTTCCACACAGAGTTGCAATATAATATGTACATTCACACAATATCCGAAATTGTACATTACATAAGAATGAAACCCTTTACACAGTTCCACAGAGTTGCAAAATAATACGTACATTCACACAATCCAAAATTGCAGCACATCACAAAAGAATCAAACAAGGCTTCCAAGCTACTGGTGTGCCAAAATCCAAGGGCTATTCAATATATTGAGACACAGCGTAAGACAAATAGCCGTAACCGCAGAAGATCTGCTCCCAACATACCTAACCACCTCGAACCCCTTATCAAACACCTCCTCGTGAACCACACCAACACTCTTCCTCATGCACTCGGCCAGCCTAGAAAGCAAAAACTCGAGAAAAGACCTTACAGCCTCGAAAGTCACAAGTCCCGTCACATCAAGCACAAACTTCCGATTAACCGGCAAAGCCATTGCCGAACACATCTTCCTACTCCACCCTCCCTCCGCACTCCTTTCCCTCAATCTCCTCGCGTGCAATGTGGTCGAGATCAGTTTGAATCTCTCGTCACCACTAAATCCGTCCTCAAAATCAAATCTCGAATAAGCTGAAGTGTTGTTGTATCTCGGACTGTTGGCGTTGGACGCGTTCTTGGAAGTCCGGATAAAAGTCTCGACCGCATTATTACATAGCGTGACCAAAATGTCCTTAACCCTAGCCTCGTGTTTTGGGTTCGTGAGGCCGGAGAATATCTCGTCATACGTGTTGATATGTGATGTCTTGTCGAGATAAACGGTCACGGCCGTGCTCACGATCGAGCGTACGCAGTCGCCAATCAGCTGTCGACACTTGTCATCGCAGGCAATCTCGACCCATCTTGGATTATTAGAGTTTCCGTTTTTGTTTTTGTTTTCCCATTCCGAATATAAGGCCAACACCAAGTTGCGTGCGAAGCTCCCGAGGACGGCCGAGGCGAAACCAGTCCCCGACTCAGAGAACAGTTTATCGACAAATTTATTCGAGAAAGTTCCATCACTGCTCGATAACGAGTCGTGATGGAAACCTTGCAAAATGCCGAGAGTTGCCGCGCGCGAGATTTGAGTCAACGACTCGGAAAACTCGTCCGATTTGGTGAGTTTAGAAACTTGCTTTAGACTTTGAGGAATTTGGTCGGATTCGGAACCCAGAAATTGCTTGAGATCTTTCGAAAGAATGCCGATTGCATCGGCAGAGTCGGACATCATTTCGGCTAAAGAAATGAATGCATTAAATAGTTTGGTCAGTTTTTGCCTCTGCTGGACAATTGAAGGAGAGTTGTAAAATCTGTAGGCACCGTAAATTGTGAATCCTAATGCTCCGAAAACAGCAACCCATTTTCTCTTCCTCCTCGCCTGCTCTAAGCTATTCCCCAACAATTCCAGTTCCATAAAATTTTCAAAAGCTTTTTCGAAAAAACAAAAGAATATTAAATCTATAAATCACAATCAACAGTAAAGAACTCACAATCTAGAACTCATAATCAACAGTATCATATGAGCAAACCACAATTTTCTGACAGACTAAAACGATGAAAGTCAATAACAAAACAATTATGAGATAGATGTATACGACACCGTTTGACTAGGGGGGAAAACAAAAAAATAAAAAAAAAACGGAGGAAAGTAGAAAAGGGGATAGTTTGTACGTAGAAGGAACCTTTTGAGATTGAATCTTTAAGAGCAATTGAAAAACTGTACAGAAGTCAGGGTTTTCAGGGATGGATCAAAATTTGAGATGTGTATGGGTTTGAATAATACGTGTAAAGGTTGACAAATGGATATGGATGATTGTTTTAGATAGAAGTATAAATACAGTTATCCGTTAGTTGTGGCGCAAACACGCAGAGTGAGGAGGATAGAGATTAGAGTGCGGCTGTCGGTTCACTAACTTCCTTGATTGAATTGACGGGTCAATGGGTAAAGTTCAACTTACATACATTATTAACATGATCAAGCATTAAAAGCAGCAGGTGGGATAATCTATTTTATTTTCATATTGTGGAAGCATTTAAAGTAGGATATGGGTGATTTGTAGGCTTAATCCTCTCTAACTGAGAGCATCTCTAATAATAAATCTTCACAAATCATTTTTTTTTTTCCTCAATATGTCACATTATTCAAAACTTCATTCTTACTCTTACAACTAAATACTCTAAATAACCATACACCATTTTTCATGCGCCCCACATATTTTCAACTTATTCTATTTTAATATCATACTTGATATAGCGCATAAAAATATTGTAGTAGAATTGGTCAAGACTAGCTCGATTTATAGACTGAAGTCAGTTAGGACGGCAGGTTCACGAGGAGTTCGCCAGAGTTAGGAGCTCGGATTATGAGGAGCTAGGATCATAGTGCTAATATAAAAGAAGCCTAGTACTTCGGTGGCTGGGGCGAGGAACTTTATGTTAGTAGCTCGGCATAAGGGTAGCTAGACTGTTGTGTGGCTTGAAAGTGCTAGGAGCTCAAAACAGAAGTAGCTCGTCATAATAGTAGCTAAGCTGTTTATGTGGCTTGAAAGTGCTAGGAGCTTGGCACAGAAGTAGCTCGGCATAATAGTAGCTAGGTTGTTTATGTGGTTTGAAAGTGTTAAGAGCTCGGTGCAAAAGTAGCTCGGCATGATAATAGCTATGTTGTTTGTGTGGCTTGAAAGTGTTAGGAGCTCGGCACACAAAGTAGCTCGACATAGTGTAGCAAAAGGGTTTTACAGGGGAAGGCCGACCTATGGTAATACTTTACAAACTAAGGACCGACCTGTGGAGGCAGTTACGAAAGGTGGTCTAGTAGAGCCAGAATAAAAAAAAAAAAAATTGATTCGACAGAGAAAGAATGAAGCGTATTGAAGGAGCTAATAACCTTTTATAAATAGGTAAAATTAGGGATGAGGTAAGGTTAATCACACTCTATGCTCTAAATATTTTATACAAATATATATATATATATATATGTATATATATACAACTTTTCAGTACCCTTACGGACTTGATCGTCGGAGGTTTAACACCGGGAACACCTCTCGGCGTCTTTGCAGATCTATGGGGAGCAAAGCGGTCAAGGATCGTTGGAAGGCCGTTCGAGGTGCAAATACACATCAATTGGCGCTGTTTTGTGGTGTAACTCTGTTAGTCTACTGATTATAAAGGAAGCTAAGATGGAGAAGATTATCGGAGAAAAGGAGCGGCTGCAGATGAATTTGGATGAAAGCCTGGAGGAGGTTTGGGTAGCAAAATCGCCCTATGGAGGAGGACCACCGGTAGGATGGGCAGGAGGCGAGAAGACGATGGTTACCCCTCATGTGACCTTGCAAAGGGTGAACCAAACCTTGTCGCCGAAGCTAGATCGAGGGTTGGTAAGCCAGGGGAAGGGTAAGGAGGTCGCTGCGTAGACGAAAGGTCACGGAGCTGCGACGAGAGGTAGTGAGCAGGTGATCCAAGTGACTAGAGGGAGTTGGATTGCATCATTGCGGAGGTGGTTGGTAGGGCGATGATGTCCCAAACATAGGCGGCGGTGGATAGGCCGGCAATGGTAGTGGATTAGCTGGAGCTGGCGGTGGATCATCTAGATGGAGTGGCACAGGCTGTGGTCTCTTTGGTGCAGCAGCACCACTCGGCGGTGTTTAGGCCGTTGGGAGGTGATAACCAGAGGAGAAATGAGCAGGAGAAGAGATCTGTTATGTCTCCGATGGGTAATAGACTGCCGAGGGATGTGGTGTTGAAACAAATGGCGGATCTGATTAAGGAGCTTCAGGCCAAGGTGGATGAGAGACGAAAACTAAGGATGCAGGGCCATCCTTTTATCGACAATGTCTGGGGTGCCGACCTACCACAAAATTTCAAGGAGCGTAGCATATTCTGTGGTGGGTCTTCAGATCCATCTAGGCATTTGCGGAGCTTCGAGAACGTGGCGGTTCTATACCGATACAATGTTGCGGTTTGTTGCAGAGCCTTTTTTACGACCTTAAAGGGCTCTGCTCAATATTGGTTCCACTAGTTACCTGCAGAATCTATCTATAGCTTTGGGGTGTTTAGCTCGTTGTTCATAAATCAATTCTCTTGTGCGAGAAAACATGAGAAGACCTACCTCACGCTGATTAACATGCAACAGCGTGAAAATGAGCCATTGAGGGACTATGTTGTTAGGTATGCACGATCTTGTGTAGATGTTCCCTCAACATCAGAGGAGATCAAGGCAGGGGGGCTTACACGGGGTTTACGGCTAGACCATTGTAGAAATTCTCTAGCTAAAATACCTGTTAGGTCTTATGATGAGCTACATGAACATGTAGGAGATAGAGGCAGATTTTCTGGTGAATGATCGAGCTAGAGGGAAGAAGCACGAGGAGAGGCATAGGCCAGATGAGAGGAAGTTGGGAGGCAAGGATGCTAGGAACGATGAGAAGAGACATATAGGGTTTAAGTATGAGCACTACACGCCGTTGACGTCACCAAGAGGCCAGGTATATGAGATATTGGAGAAATAAGGAGATACAAACATGTTTGGGAAGCCTCAACCTCTACCTAAGAGGAAGGGGCAGGTGCCGGTGCGAGGAGATCCTTTTTGTAGATACCATAGTGACTATGGGCATTGAATGAACAATTACAAGGAGCTGGAGGATGAGAATAAGCGACTGATAAGAGCAGGTCACCTGAAGAAGTTTGTTGTCCAAGATAGGGAGTGGAAGGAAGATAAGAAGGCATGTGATAAGAAGAGGATGCCGAAGGAGCCGGAAGGACAACCTCCCAAAAGTGGGGTAATTCATATGATCACAGGGGGGCCGACAGATGGTGATTCCGACAGTGTTAGGCGAGCCAACTTAAAGGGGTGATTGGGAGAGTGTAGCGGAAGTCCAAATTGCTCATGGTGTGCTGGAGTTGAAGTTTGGCTCGGGTGATTCGCAGGGTGTGTTGGTACACCATAACAACGCTTTAGTAGTAACGGCGGAAATCGCGGGATATGATGTGAAGAAGATACTCATTGATACTAGAAGCTCGACGGATATCATATTCTACGAGTGTTTCAGGCAGATGGACCTAGACGTGGAGATTACACCTATCAAAACATCCTTATTTGGTTTAAGTGGAGAAGTGGTGATGTATTTAGGGGAGGTGCAGTTGACAATGGTCCTAGGAGCTCCTCCTCTAAGGAAAGTCAAAATGGTGAGATTTTTTTATAGTGAAGGCGGATTCAACTTACAATGTCATATTAGGTCGGTCTAGCTTGAATTCATTCCAGGCAGCAGTGTTAACATACTGAATGAAAATGAAGTTTCTGGTGGGAAACCTAGTAGGCGAGGTCACGGGGGATCAGTGATTGGCTAGGACTTGCTACCAAACTGTGCTGAAGACGAGTTAGAAAAGAAAGTGTCAAGAGGAAAGCTCAGGCAAAAGTAAGGAGGCCAGGACCGAGGCCAGGACCGACACAATCCCTCAGGATGAGCTTATGGAGATTTACCTAGTCAGAGGGGAGCCAGGAAAGGTGACAATTATAGGAAAAGGGTTGGTGGAGGACATCAAGGTGAAGCTAGTCAAATTGCTGAGGGAGCATGTGGATAGCAATAACAGAGTGTTTGAGACTAAAGTAGAAATTGAGAAGTATGTGGTGGACTTTTATGATCATCTATTCCAGTCTGAAGGCTCTAGAGGGGAAGAAGATATTCTACATTTGCTGCCTAAATCAATCTCAGAATAACAGGGACCTTATATTAGAAATGAGTGAAAATGGAATAAAAGCAGCTCTTTTTAGTATAACCCTGAAAAATCTCATGGAGGGGATGGCATGTCACCCTGTTCTTTCAACACTTCTGGTCTATCATCAAAGGTGATTTATGCAAGGTTGTGATAAGCTTCTTTGAATCTGGTATGTTGCTAAGAAATTGGAACCACACATTAATTACTTTGATTCCTAAGTGCTCATATCCAACCCCTCTTAGAAATTTCAGACCTATTTAATATGGGACACCATACCTAAGGGAATAACCCAGTCGAGTAAACTGAATGAACTGCCTGGTCGAGCGAAATCAGGATAGAGGGATCGTGATCGAGCAAGGATCAAGATCCTTCAACCTGGAAGACAACATAAGGAGGTTTGGAGACAGTGAGAACATGTCAAGTTGGGGCCTGTGGGCGGCCTGGTCGAACTTCTACTTGTGGTTATAGCTGGTTGTCTGATCGACCATCACTCTGACCTGGAGCGGTCAGCATTTCACCTCAATCGACCTAGAGTTGGTCGAATCATTAAGTGGTCTATTCAGGGGAATTAAGCCTCACATGAAGCAAACTATGTGGCACCATCTCATTGGTTCACGTCTCATAACCGCATCTGACATATTCTGACAGAAGAATCGTATTACCGGGTAGCTAGGGTAGCCAGCTCACTATATCCAGGCA